CCTTGCCAGGTGTCCTGCCCATTGCCGCTTGAGGGATTTGATTCTGTGGATGACATCTATTACCTGGGTCTTTTGTCGTATCCACACGTAAAAGAATATTACTTTTTCTCTTGGTTATTCCCAGCATATTTTGTTCTGTGGCAATATGATTAGACCTTATTAATAAACCGTGTTAATATTTCTAGCATCTTTAAGCATTTCTAGCATTTATCTTTCTATCATGTTAAATAAACCCAGTATCCTTTCCATATTTGTTTTGGTTTAGTTTGGTTTTCACTAAAAATCACTAAATTCACTAAATTCTTGAAATAATAAAACATAACATAAATATTCGGCACGTTTCTATGCACTAATTTCTGTATTTAAAAATAACACCAAATTTTATTAAACCATAAAATATTAAACAAATATTCAGTATGTTAAATAATGTTTTATTTAATTTAAGAATTTGTATGTTTATGTCATGATTATAAAACAGTGTCAAATTATATGCACCTCTGTGCCTGTAATGTTATAGCCGAGGCTATAGCTGTATTTATTCTGCCCAACATTAACCCAAGATCAACTACTAACTAAAAAAACTATACACTACCCGAGACATTACCCTATAACCAAAAATCGACGCCGGGAGGCACGTATAGCACGTTGGTAGGCAGTTCTTTTAGTTTCAAAGTAAAGGAATTTTTTTTCATCTCAAAAACTGCGACTTTGACTGATTTTGATGTTATTACAAATTTTGTTGCAAATATTATTCCTAATCTTAAATTGAAAACCGCGTTTCGCTAGCTACGGTAATTTTGGAGTTAAGATTTATTAAAATTTTTAACCCCCTCCCATACCCCCTTACCAACCCCCCACCCCCACCAAAAACTAATGGCCAGATTCTCGGGTGCCACAGTATTTTTGTGCCAAATTTGGTAAAAATCAGTTTAGCGGTTTTTGAGTTATCGTGTTACAGACAGACGGACAGACAGACAGACACCATGAAAATATTTTGTATTTAGGTCATTTATGACCCAAATAACTCATTTTGAATGAAATTAAAAAAAAAAATTTTTTTGCCGATCTTAATAGCCTACCATACCCTATTGGTATGGTCGACTAAAAATATACTTCACAAAAAATGATGTAAATCATTATTAATCAAATTATATTAAAATTTAATTAAGAAATTATTTTAACATTTTTGTTGCTCAAGTAAATATGTGTCATAAAGCAAACAAGACTTTTGAAACTGACAACACAGTAGATACTTATAAATAACCGAGTAAAGAACCTTATACCGTATGATCGAAAAAAAAAAACGGCGTCCAGTTGGCTTGGAAATGAGCATCGATGACATTCCCCATATAATTTTACACATAAAATGACAACGATCTTCATTTCATAGCCATCGCTAATGCCATTTTTTTATCATACGGCATTATAGTACATACATATACCGCAGATCAATGCAAACGACCATAAAAGTCTTATACAGGGTGGCACACCTCATTCGCCTCGGTTGATTATACGAAAACGGAAAGATGTAGAAACAATAATAGGCAAATACACCGGAGGAAATGTACAGGGTTTTTCGGAATTTAGATCCATACCAAAGTTATATTTTTTTCTTATGATGAAACTACAACACTAAAATTATAAAAAACGTATAATATGAATAAGTAAAAAATTACCCCAAAAATCTAATATAATCAAAAGTACTGAAGGAGTTCGAAAAAGAATAGAAAATCTAAATTTTACAAAAATGATTTTACTAAATTATCCAAGAACGACAGAACTATTGCAAATCTATCCAGAACTCTCAATTTTTAGTTCTCCAAGGAAAAAAGGTTTTCAACGTCATAGAGATCTATACAAGACATAAATCAAGTCCCACACTCTAGCTTTTAGTTAGAAACATTCCAATTTGTTCATCACAAACAAAAATAAGATAAACAGTTTGTAAAATGTTTACTTTTTCCTTAAACAATTTCCGTTAAGTAAATGTAATAAAAGCGGAAAACTTTAAAGGCGAAAATAAAGTATAAACAAATTTAAACAAAAATTTAACACATTTTTTAAAATCGCTTCATAACTATTTTGATTTCGTGGTAGTTTTTTTACAGGCACTTAAATAAGACAATGAATTGTATGAAATTCCAAAATTAATTGTTTTTTTTTCGGATGACGAACTATTGTAAAAAAATATTTTATCTCTTGAAAATAATATGATTTAAGTTCATGTTATTTATTTTATTTTTTTTTCCATACTTCCAATTAATTTATTGCTTCTGAATTATTATATATTAACTGTCATCTTTAGTTAGCTTAACGCCAAAGTTTTAGACTAGCTTTGGTTAAGGCTGTGCCACAGGCTGTACCCTCGGCTGTACCTAAACTGAACTTTTGAAGTTGATTTTGAGATGGAATTAAGCCGAGAAAACTTTCGCGCAATAATCGTTTACAATTGTCGTAGACAGTTCTCTTCCCAAGTTGGTTTCTGTTTACGGCAATGAGGCACCACATCAGTTGCCAATTTCCAGTTGGTATGGAGAATTTAAACGTGGACGGATTAGTCTTAGCGACGGTCCAAGAACAGGTTCATCAACAACGGCAGTTACCCAGGAAAACGTGGATGCTGTACGTAAGCTGATCCAAGAGGATCGACATGTTACATATTGTGAAACTGAAGCATTACTGGGCATTTCAAAGGCGTCAATTCAAAAAATTTTGCATGAAGAATTATCTGTAAAAATAGTTTTTTTGTTGGATACTTCATCTGTTGACGGAAGAACAGAGAGCAATTAGCAAGTGTCAATTAGTATCAAAAAACTCTACGCAGGTTTAACGCAGGAAACTCAAAAAATATATACAGCATTGTCAGTGGTAATGAATCTTGGATTTACTCTTATGAACCCGAAAATAAACGTCATTCGGCTGTTTGAGTGTTCCGAAATGAATCAAAACCGACGAAAGTTATCCATTCTCGAAGTGTTTCCAAAAAAAGATGGTGGCGACATTTGTCTCACGAGTGCGTCATGTAGCAATTCGTCTGCAAAATCAAAGAACTGTTACTGCTGATTGATACATATCTATTTGTTTGCCAGAAGACAATACCAAGTTTTCACACACCTCGAAAAAGAATTGAGTTTTTAAAGCAAGAAAACATCGAATTGTTAGACCCTTGTTAGACCGTCCTCCGTATAGTCCCGACCTAAGTCCTAATGACTTTTTTACATTTCCAAAAATTAAGAATGAACTGCGTGGTCAAAGGCTCCACTCCTCAGAAGATGCAGTCCTTCATGAACGCAATTTTGAAGGTACAAACAAGCGAGTGGAATAACTGCTTTCAGAGTTATTGGTTCCAACATTCCAACCTCGGATCCAACTCATGCAAAAATGCATTTTCCTTTGTGGAGAATACTTCGAAAAACAATAATGTTCCTAAATTATCTACTGTTGTTTCTACTACTATGCAATATATTAAGACAACCCCGTATGTGTCACATAAATTAAAATATCACATACTAGCAAAATAAAACTCTAAATCACCACAAAACACCAAAACACTTTTCTTTTACACTGGACGCGCGTTAAAACTTTTTTTTGATTGTGTTTTAATCATCTGCTGATGATGCTAACATGGTAAGTGAAGAACCGCGCGTCCAGTGTACAAGTAAGTGTTTTGGTGTATTGTGATGATTTAGTGTTTTATTTTGCTGTTGTAACACCAAAGGTAATGTCATATACAACCCCCAACTGTAATGTCATATACTAAACAATATAAATACCTACCGTATGACCGAAAAAAAACGGTGCTCAGTTGGCTTGGAAATGGCAGTCAATGATATTTCCCATATAAATTGACAGCTTCATTTCATAGCCATCGCTGACGCCGTTTTTTTGCCGGTATAATCTATAAAATATTATATAAACTGTATACATAGTCTTTAGTTTGGTACTTTTGGAATTTGGCACAAACTATAAACTAATAATTATTAAAAATATGAGGACGATTTGGTTGTCTATAAAAAAACTTGTCAACCATTATCCAAACAGTAAATATAGAAGGTCTGAAGGTCATGGCCAAATCGTTTAAACTTAAACCGATCACAACCATATTCGATAATTACATAAATAAATATTCCTAAAGGAAATAATTAGAATCTCTCAAAATTATACCAATTTGTAGACTCTTGCCCGGTGTTTTCCAGACAGCCGCGGTATTTAGGACAACTTGGCAATCAAAACATAATTCAATAAATATCATTTAGCAGACAGGAGCAACCTCCTATGAGTGAGCCGTGCGAGATCTATATTTAATTACCGATTAAAATGATTGAGTAAAGGTTAAAAGGCCAAACTGAGTAATAGGATGACACCCGGGATGACACCTTAACAGAATATAGGTAGGTAGATATTTTTCAGAAATTGTCTTCATATTCCGAATAGCCACAAATTTTTGTACGATATTTTTTTCAACTTATTATGCTTTCAGAGAAAAAATTATTATATAAATATTTCCTAAATATCCTTGTTTAAACTACCTTTCTACTTTAAATGTTTCCTAAACAAATAGGTATAATGTAGTTTTAGAATATTATTGATGATTATATATTATCATTACTACGTTACGTTAACAGAAAAAAAATGAAATATTTATTTACAATTTCAGCTGTTAAATAGAAATTGTTTTACAAATTGACTTAGTTGAATACATAAATGCGAGTACTTATACTGAAGACAAGAAAATATAATAACGACATAATATTATATGCATAAATTTAGGTTTATTTCGGATTAATAAAACGTTTCTCATTAAATAATTTTTAATAAGAAAATGTTGGTCAAACCGGACCGTCATCTGGGGTCTAGGATGTGTGACATCATAACACACCCTAGACTTGTACAGATGTTATAAATCTTAAAATAATACGGAAATCTATAGCAGAAAGCATTTAGAAACGATCCTAATATTGCATGAATCTATTACGAAACATTCAACAAAATATACTTACGATTTAGCTCCAGTTGCAGATTTTCTAGTCAGGATTTATTTACCTTCAGTGAAAATGGATTTAAATTCCTTCGCCTGGCTTTAAAACACTGTATAACACACTTTAAATTGTTCGGTGATACGCGAAACTGATTATTCGAATAGTTCTTGTTCCGTACTTGGATAATTATCTTATTATTCAGTGAGAAAAACTAATATATTTTAACACTCCACACGAAACGAAAACCAAAAACTGTCATAGATTACAGGACTTGTCATCAACTAGAAACACCGCCTGCAATGTTGCCACGATTTTATATTTATAGATTTTAGATTTTTTAAAACTAAAAAAATAAAATAATTATTAAATTACAGTAAAATTATCTCTATTATACAGCTACAAAATGTGTTTTTATTACAAATATATATTAAAAGTATCAAACAATTAGATATAAATGACGTATTCCAAACAAAAAGTGATATGTGGCAACAGGGTCTATGATTCTAATATTGGTATAGTGGCGACACCTTTCAGTCTTGTGAAAAACCAGAATTCATTTTTGTTTAATGCGTTGCATACTCTCAGGGGCAATTTTGTATATAGGGGCTATCTTAAAAGTTGCAAAATATAATCATTGTCTTGATTTTTTGATATTTTCTAACATAATATAACAACGTGTTTAAAAACAATGTGTCATTTTATTAACGCATGACCGAGCATTAAAAAAAATACACTGAAGATATATTAAAATTATTAGAAGTACAGTATGAAATTTATCATATTAATTTCATAGGAGGCGAAGATGATTACCTAATAAAAGATTGATCAATCTAATTCTTAATTTAATTCTACAGTTCTTATATTATTTTTTGTAGTTTCTTTATGGCGACATTTTCTTTATTATCTCTTAAAGTCGCTAATTATTCAAAATCGACTTTAGTTTATGGATTTTATTATTTAGATTATACAGTATGATCGAATAAAAACGACGTCAGCGATGGCTATGAAATGAAGATCGCTGTTATTTTATATGTAAAATTATATGGCAAATGTTATCGATCGTCATTTCCAAGCCAACTGGACGCCATTTTTTTCGATCATACGGTAGCAGTTTACTTAAAGTTACCCACAATAGTTTAATAACTCTGTTAATAAGTAGTAAGTATTCATTATTTTATTAAGAAAAATAAAGCAGTAGGTACTATCTGTGGGCGGAACGAATGTATATGTTACTAGTAATTTTATTTTGTGAGGAAAATTGCTTCTTGGCCTCAAAGGCTTATGCGCAAAGATATCCAAACAGGAATCTTCCTGATAAGCGTTCGTTTGAAAATTTATGATATTTTTTCTTGATAAAATAATATAAATACATATTTAATAAATATTATAACTATTATATATGATTATATTATATTATATTATATTATGATTATAAAACTAGTGTAGGAGTAAATTAAATAAAATAAACTATTATGAATTTAAATGAAGTTCGTAAACTAATATCGATTTTGAAAATAACTACTATCACTAGAAACTTGCCATGACCTCTTGGTTGCCATTTTATTGAAAAATTTATTGAAAAATTGATTGAAAAACTTATTGAAAAATCTGAGCAAGATAGATATAGGAAACCCTAATATAGTTTGAAAGAGCATTTAAATCTGCTTCGACTTATTTTAAAAAATACATATTGCATTTGAAATAACAAACAAATTTTTCAGTAAAGTTTATTACTCTGGCTTAAAAGTCACCACAAGAATTAATTCTGAAAAGTAAAGTACAGGGTGTTGACAATCTTTTTTATTATAGCATGCATATATTTAAATATCTTTAAATATCTCAAAAACCAAAGCTTCTAAACATGTTTGACCTTGATAATAAATGCCTTATTTTGTGTCCAAGGATCCAAAAATGAAATAAAATACCGGGTGTTCCATAAGAAAAAATATAATTTTGGTGTCGATCTGTCATAACCTGTATATTTCAAAATAATTTTAAATTATGCACATTGCCTTCCCATATATACCCATAAAATATTTTGTTTCTACATCTTTCCGTTTTCGTAAAATCAACCGAGGTAAATGAGGTGTGCCACCCTCTATAATATTTTTTCGTTTCATTTAATATACAGGGTGAAAGTACTCACGTAAAAATAAGACTTATTTTTCATATCAACATAGGTCCGATTCAGCTTTGTTTTGTAGCAACAGGGTCTTAAAGTCGTTACTACTTTGAGGGTAAGTGTTACATATTTTAATGCTAAAAAAGTGTCAATAAATTCATCAGGGACGTGCATATGGGTTATCACTAGAATATTTTTCAAAAAAAAACATATGCGCCACTGATTTTTTTCTTTTGATTTCAAAATTATGTAGGCCGTTTAATTCCAATTAAAAGTTATCTCTTGATATTTTGTCAAATTCGGCCTCCTTGATGAGATCACAAATTAATAAAATTAAAATTAAAATAAAATTAATAAATTATATATTTTACCTAATTTATTATTAAATATTATTACTATTAGTTATTGTTACTATTAGTCCAACATACAGCAATTTCAAATAAGAAAATAATGGTATTTAAGTACAAAAAAACTAATTTTGAAAAGTTCCTGTAACTCAAAAACTATGCATTTCCATACCTATATTTATAGGAACTTTTTTTTCATATTTTCTGATGAGAAATCAATGAGTACTTATTTAAAGCTATCGCAGGTTAATAATATTAATTTTTTAAGGGTTGTTATTAGACTTGGATCAAGGCAAATTAATAAAATTGCATTCTCACCAAGGAGACCGAAATCGACGAAATATCAAGAGACAACTTTTAATCGGCATTAAATTGGTTACATTACTTCGCTAACAAGAGAAAAAAAGAGTCAGTTGCGTACATGCTTTTTTTATAAAACGACCCTGGTGATTATGTCGACACTCTTTAGCTTTAAAATATGTCGCATTTATAGTAACTTTTACCATCAAAATTTCATTCGAAATGCTAAAAGTACTTATAATAAATCAAAAAAATATTAAGACTTTAACACCCTGTAGCTACGAAACAAAGCAAAATCGGACCTATGTAAAAAATAAATATTATTTTTACATGAGGAATCTCCCCACAAGAGATGGCACATTTTACAAATCACCCTGTATAATCTTGTTTTCATATTTCGTTTTTTATATTTTAACACTTAAAGTGATTAAATATGTGAAAACAATGTTTTCAACGATCCCCCGTATATTCGCCAGACGTCTCCGCCTTTCCACCCAATTCCACCCTAAAATCGGTTCGCTATAGGGTGCGGTTTGATTCACTTCACCCACAACCCTACAATTTTTATCCATACGCACCCGCTGTTTAAAAAAGAGAAATTTTAAACAAAATACAACTTTGCAAATAGCGGTTACCTGACTGAATTAATAGAGAGAGTAGTGCAATTTTCTTAGTTAGTTAGGAATTTGTTGGAAATTGTGGAAACCTGGAAGAATTCTCATGGATTTAAAAGGAAAAGTGGCACTAGTTACGGGAGGAGCGTCAGGGCACGGTCGTGAATATTGTAAAGAATTGTTTAAACATGGGTGTAAGGTAAATAATAACCAAATATTGTTTTTTTAAAGGTCATGTTTGTATTAAATAAGTATACAAAAGCGTAGCACATACAGGGTGTCCCATTAAGGCGAGAAAACCGCCAACATAGGAATATTTAAAATTATTTTTTACAGTTATTTTAAATGCAACATGCTGTTAGTATTTTTTCTATTAGATGCAGAATTAAAAAATATTTTATCGAGGCATTATACTATATACTACTTGTACATACAGCTCTTTCAACGATAAAATACCAAACGAAAATCTTTATGTGGCTTTGATAAAAATTTACTTGATAACGGTCAGTGGTAGTTCTGACCGAAACGTTGTGTTAATCGAATTAAATAAAGACAATGGAGGTCCGAAGTTCTTTTAGTTTCAAAAATTTACCGTTGAAAGAGCTATACATATATAATATAATAATATAGCAAATATCTGCCAAACCGTTAAAAAATTAGAAACATTTAAATACAAAAAATGTTTATTTTTTATTTCTGCATCTAATGGAGAGGCTTTTGCATTTAAAAAATTGCAAAATAGTATTTTAAATATTCACGAACGAGGGAGACAATAACTGATTGCATTTTTAAAATTATAGAGTTTTTCATATAAATTTTTTGATTTATAGTTTAGGTACCTACAAAATTATTTGAGGGAGGGGGGGTTAATGATGAAACAAAATCATAATCGAAAATTTAGTGTGTGGATGTTATACATTAATAATATTAAACACGTCGATTTGTAACAAGCGCTACCAGTAGGCGCGTGTAAACAATTTAATTTACATCTTAGTAATTATGGCATGGCATTACATTCTTACATTATCCTCTATACAGGGTGAGTCTTAAATAAGTGCAAATATTTTCAGAGCTGGTAGATCTCGATTAAAGAAACATAGTTGTTTTACTTTAAAAATTTGCAAAAAAATGTTTTTTGCTTAAATTTTTAAAACCACTGGATCTTTTTTGTTTCTTTTTTGTTGTAAATTTAATTTACTACCTATGTTGCCATATTATCAAGAAATTGCGTTTTTTAAATAAAAATTAAAAAATATTCCAAAAAATTCCAAAATTTCAAAAAAAATTTTCGCGAAAAAAACTCATAATCGTGTTTCTGTGGTCGAAATATACTAACCTTAAAAATATTTGCACTTATTTACAGGGTGGCGCCTCTCATACGCCGCGGAAGCTCCAAGGAGAACGGTAGTTTATATAGAAATTAAATTTTGGCAGCATATGTAGGTTAACTGAAAGCATTTTATAAAAATATATAGCATTATACAGGGTGTCCCCCAAAAAAAAGTTACACATAAAAGTTTTGTTTTTTCTAATGGAACACCCTATATATTAATTAATTTTCGGATTCTAGGAAAAAAATAAAGGTGAGTTTTATCAAAGAAGCATATACCTAAAATCTAAGGATTTTGACATATTTCACATTTTGTGAAAAAGAAGAGTAAATTTTAAATTTCGATAACAGCTACCTAAATTTTAGTTAACCTTTTATAACCTGATATTTAATTACAGTAACCATTGTATGTTAAAACAAATTGAAATTTGGCCCGAAAAGTTGTACAGGGTGAGACAAAATTAATATGGAACATTAGTCACTTTTAAAAGCAAGTTACTCCTTTATTTTAAATGGAATACCCCGTATATTTTTCCGGTGTTCAATGAAGAATTTATATATCTTCAGAATACTATTAAGTTTGTCTACCCCTCAGACAAAGATTTTTTTTGATATTTTAATTTTTATGTTTTTGCGTCAGTAGATCTTTAATATTTGAAAAAATCTAGGGGGTGGCTGTGTGATATACCTTTTGTTAATTTAACAAAAATTAAAGATTGTAGAGTAAAATACTCAACTGTAATAAAAAGATACACGTTTAAAACATATTTTAATTATTACAGAATTAAAACTAGATATAAACCTATAATTATGTGACAAAAGTTAGCTAGAAGAAATCAAATGCTCAAAAGGCTTCCTTTCCTGTTGTGTTAATTGCATAAAATGATTGTCTTTTCAAAAGAGTCTTTTCATTTTAAAAGGCATTTATGTGGAGTTCTACCTCGAAAAGCAGCTACAATAATTCCTCTCATGTTGTAAACACGGATGCCATTAACATATCCCCATAAAAAATCCAGACTAGATAAAATCAGGAGCATTTAAATATTCTATTAATTGGTGAATGCACACTGTATTCACCAACTAATAGAATCATATCAATTCTCTCTGATGTAGGATAAGTTTGAATTTTCGGCAAATTTTTGAGAATTTTATTTGTTTTAACTGATACAAAATGATAACTAGTTATTAAAGTTGGACTAATTAGACAGTTATGTTGAAGTAACGTCAGACATATCACAGCCACCCTAGATTTTATCAAATAATAAAGATCTACTCAGATCAAATCATATAAATGAAAATATCTAGGAAATCTTTGTTTGAGGGGTAGGCAAACTTAATAGTATTCTGAAGAGACATGAATTCTCCATTGAATATCGGAATAATATACTGGGTGTTCTATTCGAAATAAAAGAGTAACATGCTTTTAAAGGTGACTAATTTTGAAAATTAATTTTGTCTTACCTTGTATAACTTTTTGAATCAAGTTTTAATTTGGTTTAAAGTACAGTAGTTAATTTAACTACATATTAGGCTATACCGGGTAAATTCCAATTTAGGTAGCTTTTATTGTAATTTAAAAAATGTTCTTTATTTTTAGAAAATGTTAAATATGTCAAAAACCTTACATTTTAGTCATATATTTCTCTTATAAAACTCACCTTTATTTTTCTCCCAGAATCCGAAAATCAATTAATATATAGGATGCTTCATTACAAAAAAAACACAACTTTGATATGTAACTTTTTTTGGGGACACCCTGTAGAGCTCTCTATATTTTTAAACAGTTCTCTGAATTAACCTATAAATGCTCACAAAATTTAATTTCAATACAAACTGTCGTTCTCCTTGGAGCCTCCGCGGCGTATGAGAGGCGCCACCCTGTATAACAAGAATAATTTAAATTTTAAAAAAGAAATTGGTATTAATAATAAAGTTTCAATGATCGCAAATACTGTAAAATGATAAGGCTTTATTGATACAAATTAGTAGTGTGTCCTGTACAAAAATAAATGTATACATAATAAAGATTAAAAGATTCATATTTAGATATTAACGATGTTACTACTCAACATTTTGTCTCTTTTAGGTAGCTATTTGTGATATTAATACTGATGCCGGTGAAGAATTACTGCATCAGTTATCCAAAAATGGAAAAGATAGAGTGATATTCGTTCCATGTGATGTTACCGATTACCTTCAGTTTGAAGGCAAGTTTTATCACTTTAAAATTTTAAACTTACTAACAATATTTTTTTCTTCTTTTCAGAGGCGTTCCAGGCAACAATCTCTCAACTAGGAGGAGTAGATATTGTTATTAATAATGCATCGGTCATGAATGACAGACTGTGGGAGTTAGAAGTTGATGTCAATCTAGTAATATACCTGCAAATGTTTATACATTGTTTTTTAGTCAAATAAATTTATTGCTGTTTTAGAATGGAGTCATAAGAGGTCTTCTATTGGCGTTTAGATTTCTGGGCAAAGACAGAGGTGGACCAGGTGGAATAGTAGTTAACGCAGGTTCCAGTTGTTCCCGCACCCCGTTAGTGTCACTTCCGGTAAAGTTAAATGTTTTTTTTACAGTTTTACTCTTACTTTAAACCCTGTGATATCGACCGAAAATAACATCGTTGTATAGTTTATCAGAAACCAGTTGGAATAGATTGGGACTAGGGTTTCCAAACCGAGATCCCGGTGTATGTTTAATCCCGAAATCCCGATATTAAATCTCGGGATCGTGAAAATCTCGAAAAATTTAAATGCGAATTAACTTATTGAATGTCAAAGTCACCTTTTCTTTAAAAACTACTTTTATTTTTGAATGAATTACATTTAAGTTTTATTTAATTATATAAAATCTAAAAAATTGACATCTGTTTTAAAAACTAACTAGCTTGAAGAGCTCGTGCGACAGACTGTAAAAAATAGAATCTGTACTTGGAAAAATGCTAGTCTATTGTTGTCTATTCAGCACTTATACACACACACACACAATATAACTCCTCCCTTCTCAGAGACAGCTATACCGATTGAGGGGGTAGCTGGATATTTCTTGAAGGTGGTGGTTGAACGTCACGTCGACATCTGGGGAACTTCTTATATATCAGGTAGATGCAAAGGATGAAAATTACCAGGTACAAAAGCAGTGTCCACAGGCTTGGGATATTTCCTGACTTCGTCAAATACCAGGTGTGGTTGATTTTCAATTAGTTGATTTTTCAATGTGTGGAGATTGTCGAGTCTTATTTCAGATATTTGGCTTGTTAAATGTAGAGTCGGTAGGATCTTATCATCTTCAGTAACATAGTCGTCGAATAAAATCAAATGATTGGTAGTATTAATTATTTTCCTTTCATTGATTATTAATAAATCGTTCACTAAGGTCTCACAACCAGGTGGTATTTCAAAGATATATGTACCTTGAAATTTAGCTCTCTTCTTGTTTGAAACATTTCAAGTGTGCTTGAACTTCATAAGGGAGTACAACGAGCCATTGGTTTGTATTGTCTAGTTGATTGACAATAGGCTGTGTTATTTTTAGTTCGACTTGCTTACAGTTTTTATTGTTTGTTTATGATTGCAATAATTGAACTGAACATGGACTGTTGTAGCTGACTTCTTTAAGAGGGGTGTCGCAGATGTAATAACTATCCATTGCTTCTTTGCAAAGTTCATTTTCGAATGCATAGTGCAATTGACCTTTATCAAGTATTTATTAACAGGTAAAATTGCCTTGAAGAGACTCTTATAATATATAGGTATAGAAAATAAATGAAAATAAGTGAAACTCATCTGAAATGTTATAGGAAAAATGAAGTAAATATGTTATTTTATTATTTAAAATAAAACATTCTAATTCAATAATATTTTCATAATACAATATATTATCGATCTTAACAGGCAAAGGCATAAGATTTTCACCTACTTGAGCCTGTATGTTTTTAACTCAATAAAGAGATCATCTGTTTTTATTATACTTGGATGCATTATTTTTAATTTGGAAAAAGTTAATGAATTTTCGATATCTTGTAAAATAGAATCGATGGTTTCATACATAATGATTAATTGATTTAATGTATCTTTTATAAAGTGAGAATTCTGAGAATAAGTTGTTGAGTTTATTATCAAAGGAATTTGATCTATTTTGCCTTGCAAAATCTTTTCATTTTGAGTTATTTGTTGTATCGTTAAATTAAATTTATCAATTACACCTATAGATAGATAATTTTGCTTTCGAATATTTTCCTCTAAACTGTTTTGGTTTTTCTGTAAATTTTGAATTAGTTTTCATAACGTCGCCATCTGAAGCGTCTAAATTTCCAGTTACTGCTTTAAAAACTGAGCCTACAACATTCACTAGCCCTCTTTTTTTGTTCTGTTTGAATGTGGAATAATTTCTGATATTTTGTTTTCGACTCTCTTTGCAAAATTGTAATGCTTTTTACATAATGTACAGAATCTTTCTTATACTCTCTATGTTTGTTTACTAACTCGACAATAGAAATTGTATTTATATAAAGTTTATTTGTTTCTTGTATTATTGGGTGTAAGTCATTAAAATGTATGAAAGTAAAAGTATACTGTTTAACTTTTGCATTCCCTAATTTGATTGGTAGAAGTCCGACATTATCGTTGACTTTCCTCACATTTATTTTCTGCTGAACCTCGTATGCAGAGGTGATTACTCTGAAACATAATACAACTATTTTATAATGGTCACATTAGCCTAGGTTAAGAATTTTACTAATCAAAGCTATATCTGTATTTAAGTGGGCGTTTAACATTACCCATGTGTACCTTTTCTTGACTTTCAGTAGATACTATTTTTCTTGCAGGGTTGGTACTTACAATTTTGGTAGGGTTAGAGAACTTATTGGCTAATTTTTTGACGTACGTGCTTTTAATATAAACCTTTGATTTGGTTCTAATATATCAGGGTCATCACGCGATTCATTAATTTTACCGATTAATTTTGTTTTATTTGCTATTAGATCTTCGTTAATTTTTGAATAAAGAAGTTTGGCTTTTTCTTTATGTTCCGAAACGTAATTAGTTAATAACAGCTGATCAATGTCCAAGTTAAATGGATCATTTGAAGAGATATGACCACTAATAACGTCAACAGGTTTTAACTTAGTAACAGAATGAATTGAATTATTGTAAGCCAAAATAGCGTATTTCATTCTTTGATGTATCGGTGTTTTATTAAAATTTTGGTTGTTTAATAATCGAATGTGTTCTGATAAGGTTGAGTGTAATCGCCTATAAGACCATTAGATTGTGGATGGTTCGGCGAGCAAAAGTGTATATTAATTTTATGAAGTTGTAAAAGTTCTGTTACTACTGTGTTCTTGAATTCGGTACCATTGTCAACAATTATCTTAGACGGAATACCGTGATGAGAGAAAAATGTTATTAAGTTGTCAACAATTTCCGTGCCGACCATAGATTTTAACATGTACGCTTGCGCATATTTAGAAAACTATCTATTATAGTTAGAAATTTAGTCTGTTCTAGTGTATAGGTGTCTAAATGGATTATTTCGAAAGGTCTAACTGCAGTGGGAGTAATATTCATTTTAATATTGATTGGATGACGCTCGTACTTACTTTTTTGGCAAATTTCACACTGGTTAATATATGTTTGTATAGAAGCCTTAATATTTGGCCAATAATATTTTTCTTTAATTTTTGATTCGGTTTCATCTATACCTCTGTGATTTGTTTTGCTCTCGTGGTAGTTTTTGATAATTGTGGGAATTTCGTTTTTATCGGTTATATCTATTAGTTTGGTTAAACATCTTTTAAATTTAATAGATGGCCACTTAAAGGTTTTTCTTACAATTTCGCAGAAAGGCTCGTACATTTCTGGTGATTCAAAATAAAGAAAATAAGTTTTGTCTGGAATTATATTTTCTTTAATAAAATTTAGAACATCAACATCAAAATTGTTTTCAGAAAGTTGCACCAAAAATCTACGTTTCTTTTCGAATAATATTAGTTTTTTACTTTTGCTGGACTGTGTAAGACTTTTGTAAAAATAACTTGATTTGCACCAAAATTTACCGCTGTTTCCAGTGTAGGGACTCCTACTATTGATCCTGCTCGTCATTCGAATGAATGGTTCCATCGTCATTTTCCTCGTATAGATTTTGTTGTGGTTCCTTATCTGGTTGGACTATAATGGAGGCATCTAAGTTATCTTCGTCTGTTCTGTCATTTTGCTCACGTATATAATCTTTTAATACAGATATGTCGTTGGTATCTTTTGTGTGTATCTCAATTCTGGATAAGGCATCTGCGTTGGTGTTCAGTTTGCCTTCTTGTAAATGATCTTGTAGTCAAATTCTTCCATCTTTATACGCCAACGCAAGAGTTTACTGCTCGGGTCTTTGAGAGAAAACAGCCATTGCAGAGGCTTATGGTCAGTAATGATGTTGAATTTTCGACCAAATAAATAGGGCGAAAATATTTCGTTGCCCATACTAAACAAAGACATTCTTTTTCTATCGTAGAGTAATTCATTTCAGAATCATTCAAGGTTCGCGATGCGTATGCGACTGGAAGGTCTTGTCCAATCGGACCCTGTGACAATACCGCGCCTAAGGCTACATTACTGGCATCGGTGGTAAGATTGAAGGGCGAGAGAAGTCAGGGTATTGTAAAATAGGTTCATTGGTCAAAAGATTTTTACAGTATTCAAAGCAATCTACAAATTCAGGGTTATGTTCAATTTTGGCTCCTTTTTTAAGACATTTCGTCAATGGTTTCGTAATTTTGGCAAAATTATTTATGAATTTTCTGTAGTACCCTAGAAGTCCTAAAAATCCCTTAATCTGTTTGGTTGTTTTCGGTATGGGGTAGTTCTTGATAGCTTTAATCTTTTCCGGGTTAGGCTTGACTCCATCAGGTGTCACTATATGGCCTAAGTACGCAACTTCACGACGCAAAAATTCACTCTTGTCAAGTTGGATTTTAAAATTTGATTCTCTTAGTCTAGTAAAAACAGATCTTAAACGTTCTATATGTTCTTGCAATGATGTTGAATACACAATAATGTCATCGAGATATACGAGACATTTTTCATTTTGGATTCCACGTAATATGCTGTCCATTATTCTCTGGAATGTCGCAGGCGCATTCTTTAACCCAAACGGCATTCTCAGAAACTCGTAGTGTCCGTTTTCTGTATTGAAGGCTGTTTTCGAAATATCATTTTCGCTCATCTCAATTTGATGAAATCCGCTCGCGAGATCTAAGGTTGTAAAGTATTGACATTTCCCCAATTTGTCAAGCAAATCTGTGATATTGGGAAGCGGATATTTGTCATCAATGGTCTTTTCGTTAAGCTTACGGTAATCAATAACGACTCGCCATTTTTGATTTCCCGAAGCGTCCAACTTTTTGGGCACCACCCAAATTGGAGATGACCACGGCGAATTGCTATGGCGGATGATATTCTGCTTAAGCATTTTATTAATTTGACTCTCCACTTCTTGTTTGTGAACAAACGGGTATCTATATGACTTGGTATACACTGGTATTTCATCAGATGTTTT